TTGTACTTATATTTGAAAAATATCTGCATGTAATTACATCTGTAATTAATTTCTGTAATTACATTTATAATTACACAGTTGACCCATCCCTTACATCTTAACCCACCCTTAAACCTACCCATACAAACAAGCCTGTCCCTAACCTTACCCATATCCCACCTCAATAGCAGCAAAAGTGTTTTGCAATACAATATGAACACAATAAGTACATTGTACTTATTTTTGATGTAAGTACATAGTAGTTAAGGCCACTTAATATAAAGTGGGGCCAAAAAAAAATCAATAACACTTGTAATCGTGGTAATTTTGTGGAGAAAAAAAAACAGACTCTTCATGTGAAATTGATTAACTATATGAAGTTGTATAAATATTTAGGCCTAAATTTTCTGCCCCCATTTTTTTTTTTTTGATTTGTGATCATTCTGAATGTATTTTAATAGACTGAATCATGCAGTGAAAGAGCGCACTGTAAATGCGCACGCACACTAGACTTCACGTAATGTGTGCACTCTGTAGGTGTTTTGCATGCTTTTTGCGTCGTAAGAATATTCAGCAAAATAGCTCATTTGTCATGGTATGTTACTTAACTATATCATGTTATGAATAAACTAAACATTTTGAATTTTTACATCAGTGTGTTTCTTCTGAGTTTCTTTATGTGTGCTGTTACGCTCATTTGTTTTGAAGTCTTTCACAAAAAGACAAACAGAGTGAGCCTCAACAGCGCGACCTTGATACCAGAAATACATACACTATCCATTATAAATCGCTGTTTACATTGAATGTAGGCTAATAAAATTAGAAGAATCATTCTCGCATTTCCATGCTTCGCTGGTTATTATTATTTTTTGTCACTTATGTTTTAATCAGGTCCGGTCGAAAAAAAAACATTTTAAACTAGCTAGAAGGCTGATCAGCTGTAGCTCGACCTATATTATTATTGAGAACATTATAAGGTAGTTCGACCTGTTTTGTGCTACTGCGATTTAAAAAAAGGTAAAAAAAAAAAGCCAATAATTATCGATACCGAACTATATGAAACATATCGTTGATACATTTTTTAGCTATATCGCCCAGCCCTAACTGAGAGTGACGTTTAGATGAATATGTAAATATGTGCTGCTCACGTTCCTTACAATAATAAAAGGGAGAAAAAAAGAAAGAAAAAAAAACATGACAGCCGCTGACAAAACAGCAGTTCATAAAGCATCTGATCATAGCAATGTGGAAATGTTTGCACAAGCTCTGCAATCAGGACTCCAGAAGTCACGTCACATTTCTGTATATAATCATTTATACAATAGATTGATTTTAAGCAAGCAGCTTTACAGTATTAAACATGAAAATACAGTGTTGCTTTTAGTAAGAATTACAACTTATGTTTCTGCTATAAAGCAGCTCTAAATGTATATGAATTTGTATAACTCAGAATTTCAACAAATTGCAAGAGCAACCCCTACTGATTAATCAGTGAAATAAACAACGTTTAGTCGATTAATTGTTTTAGTATTCGTTAGATTAATCAATTATCAAAATAATCAATTGTTGCAGCCCTACTCAGCACTTAAATGTATAATTGCACTGTAACAAGGGCTCCTTAAAATAGTGGAAACATGTTTTTTTTTTTCAAATACTTTAAAAGAACACTTTCTATTTGCATATTTCTATTTTTTCTTTCATTTTTAATTTAGTTCTCAAACCTATTATGTTTGATTGCATAAAAAGACACAAAAGTAACTCCATAGATTGCTGTGTCAAGAGTGCTTGTGCTTATCATTGCCTTCAAGAGATGTTTTTCCCCAAAGCAAATAACTTACAAATAATAAGCAAATAATTTACAGGTAAAAATATAACTCCAAAATGTATCACCTCAATGTCAAGGCAAGTATTTTCATTGTGCATACTGCCTGTCCTAACAGGTAAGGTGCTGCCATTAGAATTGAGACCTTTGTTTGCAGCCATCCATAATTTAGTAGACTATATAATAAGAATCATATAGTAAACAAAGGTGAGAATATTTTTTTGTGTGTGCAAAGGCATTAGTTTAAGGCTGTGTAGTGGTTAAGTGCTTGCGGAAGAAGTGTGTGCTTAGCTGCCTTTTGAAAGATGTGATTGTTTGTTGATGTGTCATTGTTTAAGTACCTGTGCACTGCTGTTACGGGACAGAGCTTTATATATCTCATCAATGTTGGTGGCCACAGACTCAAAGCAGGCGTTGAAACGGTCAAATCTCTCCTTCTTTATCTGTTCAAATGCCTGCTTGGCTTTCTTCGCCCTCTTCCTGGCAGCTTCAAACTCTATGATGTTCAAACATACAAAAAAGACAGTAAATGCATGTTAGGAATGCTGCAAACCACAGATAAGCGGAGCGACTCGGTCCAACTCTGCAAGGCTAAACTTTTTAAAGGGATACCCAAAAATTAAAACTGTGCCATCATTTACTCACCCATTCTAAATCAGGTTCAATTGAAAATATCTTAATTTGTGTTATGAAGATTAACGAAAGTCTTTGGAATGACATGAGCGTAAGTAAAGGACATCGTTTTAATTATTTTGTGAACTAACCCTTTAGTGCATCAAGTCCACACATACTAAAGGAAAGATTTTAAATCTAAAAGATTTTATAGAAATCTTTTCAGAAGTATTTATGTTGTGGGAGGGGAGACAATATCACATCCAATGCTGGTGACAGGCTAACAGTAGATATGCTACCATCAAGGGTGTAACTTTGGTTTGA